AGTTTACTTTCCAAATACGCTGTTTATGCCTAGGATTCAACCGACGCAACAACTATTATATATCTGGGTACGGGATTCTCGGAGCGGGCCGTGAGTGATACATTGGGACCTTTCATACTTTTACCAATCCTTTTCCTCTTAGACCTCATACATAATGCTCCTAGTCCATCTGGCAGCTGGAGTGGTAGCTGGCATCTCCACTCATCTGGGAATATTTATCCGAGGCGAGTGGGAACGTCGGACTCCAATTGTTGCCAGGGTTTACTTGGTATTGGTTGTCTTCATTGAGCTCCTTAGGTATCTCGGCCATGGAACGAGCTTCCCTATCACCTACCTCTACATTTCCTACTGCGGGGGTCTCTTTGGTAGTATTTTCGTGTATCGCATCTGGCTTCACCCACTTAGGGATTTCCCCGGTCCTTTCATGGCAAAGGCGACAGGCTTCTGGTCCCTCTGGAAGAATTTACCCCACTACGGATTTTACAAAGATGTGCGATCACTCCATGAACAATATGGAGACTTCGTTAGGATAAGTAAGTATCCATGCATTAAAATGAGACAGTAAATTTGGCCCTAACTGCGTACTAAGGACCAAGGGAGATCTCCATTTGCAACATAGACGCACTCCAGAGCATACACTCCTATAGAAGTCCCTGTATCAAGGGGCCTTTCTATGACATACTTCCAGGAAGATCTCTTCAAAGTACCAGAGATAAAGCAAGCCACGCAAAAAGGAGACGGGTGTGGGATATGGGATTTACGGCTAGAGGTAACATTGCCTTGAGTATTACCCACCTAAAAGGTTGTCTACTGAAATTTTCGTTATAGCCCTTCGTGCTTATGAACCACAAATCAAGAAACACTGTTTGAGCCTAGTTGGACAACTCTCAAAAAGGACAGAAGCTGCCGTTGAAATTACCCAATGGTTTCATTTTTTCAGCTTCGATGTCATGGGCGACCTCGTATTTGGGGCGCCATTTCATATGATAGAGAACGGGAAACCACATTTTATACGAAGGAAATTTGAAGTAATGATCACTACGGTTTCGTCGCTAGTCTGTGTCCCTTGGCTTTTTATTTTGCTACAACAGGTGCCTGTGGTCGCCTATCTGAGAGCAAAATGGGTAGCATGGTGTGCGCTGCAAATAGATGAGAGAAAGAAGGTAAGATCTCTCCCATCAACTCGGCTGGGGCTGTCAATATTGACTTAACTCTAGGTTAGATACTTAAGAAAAGATCTCTTCTCCTATCTCCTTGGTGAAGGCGTCAGCCAACAAAGGTTGCCAAGACTAAGCGATATAGACATGGTCCTTGATTCGGAACTGGCCATTGGAGCAGGGAGCGAAACTGTGTCCTTTACTCTTTCAGCCGTTATATATTTGCTCGCACGGAACCCCGAAAAGGCAATGCTCCTCTACGCCGAAATCAACTCAATCCTGCCGTCTCCCAACGACCTTTCACACGAGAAAATCTCTCATGCACCGTATCTTAATGGGTGCATAAATGAGGCTCTGAGACTCTATCCAGCAGTTCTTAATGGTGTACAACGTATTGTGCCAGCTGGTGGTGCTATGATAGCAAACAGATGGATTCCAGGCGACACTTTCGTCTCCACTCCGACGTATAGTATTCACAGAGGTAAACCACGTGAGTCTGATCTGAAGGTACGAGACTGAGCGATATTAAGATAGCAGGTACTTTATCCAACCCGACGAATTCATACCGGAACGCTGGACAAGCCGCCCAGAGTTGATAATATCGAAAAATGCCTTCAATCCTTTCTTATCAGGCAGTTATTCTTGCGTTGGCAAGGATCTTGCCTTGATGGAAATCCGCATGCTTATTGCAGTCTTTGTATCTTCATTCTCATTTCGATTGGCAAATCGAGAAATGGTGATAGAGTGTTTCGAGAAGATTCCAGGTGTGCAAGATAAGATCACAGCACATGGACCTTCTTACGAGCTTATTCTGAGCGAAAGAAAGAAGGTATAGCTGTTTTTGTGTGTATGTGTGTGAGAAACGCACGGAGGATATCTTCAAATTTCCCTTAACTGGAGAAGGCCGGGTCTGGACTACCCTGAAGTTCAGATCTAGAAAATCCGGCAACAAACTTCCCGCCCATCGTGCTACGTCTCCACAGATAGTAATGAAAATGTGTAAAAAGTTGGACTGAAACCTAATGCCACATGTGTAGCTGTTTGAGAGTTTATACGAGAAGATGATACCACTCAGAGAACCTACATCGTACATAATACTTTCGGAAGTAATCCCGGAGGTCAAGGTTTATTCGTACTTTGGGTTGATTTAAGCTGCGTGCTAAATATACCAGTGACAACGTTCAGTTATATTCGCCCGTTGACTTTCTACAGAATCCATTCCGTCATGAGCCCTGCAAGAATACTGGAACCCACTAAGAGTAAGCCATTAGTGAACCACCTACCGCAACTTGTAGGGTCCCCAAGATCCACAAGCACTATCATGGTGTACACACCCAGAGCGGTGCCTCCGCAACTGAATAAAAAGTAGAAGCGATAGAATCCAGCGAAAAGACCCGTGAGAATTAAGAGAAAAACCATTGCAACAGCCAGCCAATAAAAGAGCAATTTTTCAATGTACTTGTACTGAACTGCCATACTTCCAACTCGAGCATGTACATCATCCGCAACATCTTGATACGCGTATATTGTGTCATAGAAGACAGTCCATATAATATTGGCTCCGATGAAGCAGATGGATGGGATAATAGAATCAGAGTCGAATGGGTCCACGTAGAGAGAGCACACCGCCATTGGTATAGCAGTAGCGAATACACATCCCAGGAGCAGTTGAGGGTAGTTAGTGAACCGCTTTGCGAAAGGGTACACCCATGACAAGTATATAATCAATACCACATATGGTTCACATGCTTTCGGTAGCAGAGTGCATGTGAAAACCACTCCTGATGTTTGTGCAATTGCAAAAGTATACGCTTGATCGTTTGATATATCGCCACGTGCTATGGGTCGTTGTTGACACCGTCGCACTTGGCGATCAAGATCTTGGTCCAGATAGTCGTTCCAGGTACAAGCTGCCCCGCGCGAAAAGATGCATCCCAGCATAAGTATGATAGTTTGGTTAAGTAGAAGGGTCCAAGAAGGTCGATACGGTGCGATTGCCATTCCGTAAGCCAATCCGTGTAGGCATGGCAAGTAGAGAGCAAGAAAGCCGCCAGGCCTATCCAGGCGCATTAACTCGGCATATGGAATCCAAGACGTGGGTAAGAAGACTCGAAGACAGGTTGGCGGGGTACGAGTAGGGGAGTATTGATCATGACGAAGCTTCCCGGTCCTCAACATATTACTTGTTCTTGGGCGGAAAAGGACAGAAAGCCTTAATTTAAGAGCCAGCAAAGATTGATGCGATATGGAACTTATAAGAGTAAACTATAGTAAACATGAACATTCAGTGACCTTCTCATTTATATAGATGCCAATTCCAAAGAGGAAAGACATGGACCACGTGTTACAGTGCACCCAGTTGATCTCGCCAAATCCAGAAAGGGGAATAAATACCCATACATAGTTACATTCAATCCTGTATGTGAAGCTGTTCTATGTGTAAGAAAGATACCTATTATGTAGACTTTGTATTCCGCTGTTTCATGCTTTACAACCCAGGAAAGCTCCCAGGACGAGGAGTGAAGCTTGCACTGTAAGTTCATGCTATCTTCGACTCCTTGCACCTTGGGTGATGTACAAAAATACGGATTCGGTGGATGGAAATAGTCACAAAAGGGAACTGTACTCACCTTATTCATTTCGCTCATCAAGATGTCACTACAAGGGGCCGGAGGTACAATTCTTCTACAATCGAACATTGGCATATAGCGATACTGGAATTATAAACTAAATGTCTCCAATGCCTAAATATGAAGATCAATTAACAATATATTTGACCACATCATAGTAAGTCTGTAGATAATGCCCGCTGCAATTTCTTGTTCCTAGTTCAAAGGTATCTGTGAGGGGCGTCGATTAGTGGCGGCCAGGCGGCGTTGTGCACATTACAATAACCAATTGAATAACTTGGAGAGCTTATGTCGTTAGAACCAGCAGCGATTCAATCAGCTCCCTATACTGGCACAGGGCTCTAGTCACCTTCATCTTTGGCAATTACTTTTCTTGACTTCATCAATCGGGATCGTCTGTAAGCCATATATATTATGCAGCACTAAGAAATGATCCGCAGCAGTAATACATGTTATTGCACATTTTATGTAAGGGTGCCTTTGCGTTGCCTGCGATTTGTTGTTGATAGGCTCAACGATACATTCGAAAGCATAATCTGGACCTTGGTAGACCGAATTGAAGCTGGTATTGTCGCTAGGAGCTTATGACCAATCATCCCTTAGCGCGAGAAGCTGATGCAACAAAGGAGACACACAGGATGACTTGTTTAAGAAAAGGTTGGAAGGTGGCTGGTGTTGCACAAACAAGGGCGAGCAGCACTAAATGCATGAGAAACTATCAATGGATGAGATTGGTTCCAGAGCTTTGCAATTACAGGGTAAATAAAAGGCCTCCATTGCGAATGCACACAGTAAGGGTGAGGAATGGGTCCAGTAAAAGAGTAAAGACATGGCAATATGGTGCATACCCTCGTACTGCGTCCAAAATAGGGAGATTTCATAACATTAGGGAATGCAAGGCTGTATATTTCTCACCCAAAAGGGAATGAATGAAAGAAAAGACGGTGAAAAGCCCAAATATTTCAGCATTCAGGAACAAGATGCGTTCAAGGAATGCTGCGTAATCTTACGGAATCTAGGGAGTTATTTGGCGGATCAGCGTAAAAATCATAAACGCTCTGTTTAAGAATCTGACTTGGTTAGCTAACTATAAATCGTTCCATATATTTTGCGTACATGGAGCAGAAAACCACTTTCAGTTATTCGAATAATTTGCCTTGGTTTATCTCTCTGGCAGTTTATTAGCGTGACCAAAACCGTGGCAACTTGGATTATGAAGCTTACTTTACCAGGAGTCAGTATATTACTTTCCCTCCTCATTATACCAGTGGCGGCCGAGAGTCGAATGGCTATGTTTGACAAGCAGTACGCTAAAGTACAGTCTGAACTGGCCAATGCATATGCCGAGTTATCAGGATATAATGGGGAAATGGCGAAAATTCCCGGGCTATTCGCCTCCTTGCACTATGCGAGGTCCAGTATCGTCGAGGTGTCCGAATCCATAGGTGCCGTGGACACATTCGAACCGGATGAAGCCGAAATCATCGGGAATATGACTGTTGGAATCGTGCCCGCCGCTACCGATTTCTTGAACTTGGCTTCAATGAAGGTATCCCACTGTGCTCAAAATAATTAAGGTGAAAGAATTAGTTGACTGATTGGCTGCATGTAACACGCAGGTTAAGCTCATTCCGACCGAGCAAATCCCAAGTCAAAGTGTCCGCTCGAAGATTACAGAGTGGGCAAAAGACTGTATCCGTGATGACAAAGCGCTTTTTACCAAGATATTGGGCAAGTGCCAGTCAGTTGATAGGAACGCACTTGACTCTGCTATCCTTGATATAACGAATGCATATACTGCAGCTCAGAAAGCGCTTGACTGAGTTATCATTTTCGTTCCATCATTGTTTGCTTACTTTCTTGTTGGGTCGCGAGGTTGAAGAACAGGTCTTGTTTTAATTTTGGGCAATGATGCCTTCTGTACTGTGATTGGATTTTGCCTAGCATATTTTGGAACGACGGACTGCAAGCGTTCATTCCATAACCCGGTGCCTTACTGTACGTTCGTCTCTACCAAGGCGGCAGGCTAAAGGGTTGGTTTGAAATCAAGGGGATTAACTAACAGTCTTCAGCGATGGATGGATGATACCCAACTTGCAGGGTCATTAGCATGTTGGTAATCAATCCGAAGGTCGATTGCACCCCCTCTTCTTTGGAGCTATTGCCAGAGCGACCATTATGCCAAATCCCTCTACAGATAACGCTGCATTAACTGATGTTGTATGCCTTGATATTGAGCTGCCGTGCCATATAGAAAATAGAATCAAAAATTACTTGAAGGATTTGTGCGTGAAAGACGGCGGCACGCAGGTCGTCGGGTCATATTATACCTGGCGACCTAGCGACTGGTCAATCCTGGAAGACATAACGTAATCCACGGCCGAGCGGCGAATACGACCGAAGTGCGAATTTTTACCGCAACCACCAAAATATTCAACTTAACCATTTTCAACGCGCCATCTTCTTTACTTTTTATATATAAAAATGCCTCTATCTAAGGAAGCCTGTATGCAAATGGCTATTACTGCATGGAAACAGCAAAAAGTCAAGTCAAAACTAAAGGCTGCCCAAATATTTGGTGTCTCTGAATCCTCCCTTCGCAAGCGGTTAGCAGGAGTCAAACCACGAGCAGAAACATGCGCAAATGGCCATAAATTAACAGTTACTGAGGAAGAATCTCTTGTTAAGTAACTGCTAGATGCAGATAAGCAAGGCTTCTCAATTCGGCCAGAATTCCTGCGTGGAATGGCATAGATATTGCTCTGTGAATGTACCCAAGATTTAACAGCAGTTCTTAGAGTAAACTAGGCCTATTCCTTTATAAAATATTGCCCTGAACTACATACGAGATATAATCAAAGGATTACATACCAGAGGGTAAAACAGGAGGATCCTAAGGTTATTAGATAGTGGTTTGTAGCTATACGCAAAGCTATCCAAGAACACAGTATACATGAAGATGATATCTGGAATTTTGATGAAACTGGCTTTGCAATGGGGCTCTGCACAATATCTAAGGTTATTACTGCAGTAGAACGCAGTGAGAGACCTTGTACAGTTATCTAAGGAAACTATGAATAGGTTATAATTATTAAGTGCATTAGTTCTAAAGGGACTTCTATACTACTAGTAGTTATCTTAAAGGGAAAAGAACACTATACTGCTTGGTATTAAGAACCTAAGCTTCTTCAAGACTAGTTTATTGCAACTAGTTAAAATAGCTGGATAACAGATAAGATAGGCCTCTACTGGTTAAAAGTGGTATTTAAGCCTTATTCTAGGCAATATTTAACTAGTACAAAGCAGCTGCTTATCCTTGATGGCTATTCTAGCCATTTAACTCTGGAATTTAACACCTTCTGCAAGGAGCATGCAATTATCTGTCTCTGTATACCACTATATACTTCTCATCTTCTTCAACCCTTAGATGTTGGGGTCTTTGGGCTGCTCAAATACTCATATAGAAAATTAGTAGAAGGGATGATAGTAGCTAGAAATAACCATATTAATAAAGAGGATTTCCTGCATCTATATCCACTAGCAAGAGATAAGGTGTTTAACCAAGCAAATATATATAATAGCTTTGCAGGAGCTGGTCTAAAGCTATTAAATAAAGATTAGGTTCTTAGAAAGATTATCTTTTAACTTTATACATCAACACCACTACTTATTAAAAGCTCTATCTCCTCTGCTTTTTAAACTCCTCAGAATGCTCACTACCTTGATTATAAGGTCCACTCTATACAGAGAAGTATCTAAAAAAGGAAGCTATCTAGCAGTCTAATGGCTTATATTTAACATCTTAAAAAGGCTGCATAGATGGCAATAAATATGAATCTTCTTCTCTAAGAAGAAATCAAGGTTCTATACACTGAAAATAAGCAGAAAGTAAAGAAAAGAGCAAGAAGGCATGCTCTAGTAGGGAATAATATCCTTTTATCTATATAAGAAGGCTAAAATCATATTCAGCAGCTTGATGAGCAGGTTAGTGAGTAGGTTAATAAGCCTACACCTATATCTCATCAGCGCGCTCCGCCAACCTGTAGTGGATGTTGGACTATTAGACATACTAGAAGAAGTTGCCCTAATAAATAGCCATATATTCAGCTAGTAGATAAGTCTAATTAATGACGTTGGTGGTCGAAAAGATTCAAAGATAGGATGATTTGCAGTAAAAATTCGCACTTCGGTCGTATTCACCGCTCAGCCGTGGATTATGTTACCATATGACTACACACGTAAGCCCCTTCTGCAGACGAGTTGGGAGTGAGTTGACACGGTACCGAAACAGACGTGAGTGACTGACAATTCTTACCAGTTTAGAGGTAATATTCAGGCCGGGTTTAATGTGCCAGTAGGTTTGGGCTACGCATCTCCTGTGCGGGGCTTGCCAGTGCTTGCATGGACAGTGTAACATTGCAGGGCCTTATTGCGGCAAGCTGAGGCTTATCATCCACACTCTCTTAACCAAGTTTCCGCAAAGTAGCTATTTAATGCTTTCGGATCTCATCCTCCTATAGAATAAGCATCACATCCTCCCTCACAACGAACGGTAGACCAGACTTATCCCTGTTTACGACAATTTGACTTTGTGTGGACGTGAAAGGATATGTTCACCATCTTGAGTACCTCTTTGGTTCTTCACTTTATACAGGCCGCCTTTGGATCTTTTTTGATAGTTGCGACTACGAGTCAGTCTAAATTTCGGCTTATCGGATCGATGTGTGCTGGTTTAATCTCATATATGCAGCTATTTTGGCTCAACAGCCTCAAGCTAAATGAGGAATACGCGATGTTGAACACTTTTATGTGCATTTTGCTCTTTATTCATCTGGTAAACCTCCTTTTGGTGATTCGCGTGCAGAGCAAGGACATCCCAGGAATTCAAAGTAACACGAAACGGTCCCTAATTAGACATAGCTTGAGGGCTTTTAACTACCTTGTCGTCAACCCTCGAGGTATTGGTACTGAATGGCAGCCTAAAACAGTCCCTGGGCTCCCGGCAATGTTGCTTCACCGGGATCAGCTCCCTTCGTTTGTTCGAGAGAGATGTTCATTGCGGACAGTCTATCTTCTCAAGCAGGCTTTTACATTGTCATGGCAGTGCATGGCCCACGACCTTTTAGTTACCGTGGACCATAATCATAGTACAAAATGGGAGGCCAAATTCCAAGCCCTCTGCTTGCGGCCGCTTGACCAGCTAGGGGACTGGAAACCCCGACTACAAATTGTGCTTACGACCATGTTCCTTATTAAATTACGACTGGACATCTGTCACTGCACCCTTGCGTTTCTCTTCGTTGGTACGGGGTTTCACGAGCCGCAGGATTGGCCACCATTATTTGGAAGTATCAAGGATGCTTATACGATCCGCAATTTCTGGAGGTACTTCATGCCCTATTCACAGATACTTAACAAGATACTAACATTATGCACTTCCACTTAGCAAATATTGGCATCAAATTATCCGATGGCCTGTTGGGACTATTGCATGTTATATCACGCGGAAGTTTTTAGGACCTGGTTGCTCGCCCTCTCTTGAGCGCTACACGCGTGTGACCCTCATATTTGCAATTTCTGCGTTCATTCACGTAGCATGCTCCTTGAATGCCAATCTCTCTTTTCATTTCTGGGAGATCTTAGCCTTCTTTGTTACATTTCCTTTCGGTTTTGTGGTGGAAGACGGAGTACAATCGATCTGGGCGAAGTCCTATGGCACCCAGACTCCTCCAGACACAGGAAGCTGGAAGCGAATTCCAGGTTACATATGGGTCTTTCTGTGGATCTATATAGTTGGCCCATTGTACGTTTACCCCATGGTCCGCATGACATCCCTTCCTATGTAGTTATTCAGAGCTATTGGCTAGCTGGTTTTAGAGCAGAAATACCCCCATTTTGAGATTACACATTGATAAGATCACGAGGAGGCGAACGCCGAATAATATGCAATTTGCTTATGACGTCTCTGATGCCATGGCTCTAACACAATCTAGGGACAGCACACCACTATTTGACAATACTCTGTTAAAATTAATTCATGTCGTGGAAATCTTATTATATTCCATGGCCTATCTGAGACACAGGTCTGCGTAATGACTTAAAAACCGATTAGAGCTCTAAAATCAGCCCGGGTATCCTCATGTGCAGCGGCCCTCCAACGTTTAACAATTGCATTGGCATGCTCTACCCATTCTGAAGAGCGCATCTACAACATTGTGGAACTGCTACATTTTGTGTTTCATATCAGGGACGGGCGTTCGATATTGACTGTTATAAACGGCACAGAAAGACCACGACGAATGGGAGAGATATTGCAGCAATCTCCATATTGAACATCGACTTGCGCATACAGAAAAGCCAAGTAATGGATGCTGCCTTTGTGAAGGAGTAGTTAAGCCTGAAGAGCTAATAGAAATAAACTATTTCCCTAAGCCTATCTGTAATTTATATTGATTATTGGTTCTTATCGGTGCGCAACCGCACATTAATAAATAGTGGCTCTGGCAAGATTCTAGGAAGAAGTTGTAATGAGCAGTGTATCTAGCACATATATTCTATAGTGGATATACCTGCATTTAAGCATCAATAAACAAGTGCACTGACAATTATAGAAATGACCCATGTCAAGATATCCGTGTGTGAGCTAGGTTCTACATGACAATTAAATTTCTGTACAGCAGTGTGGTGATCTTCGCCATGGTCCAAATGGTACATAATTTATTGTCATCATCCTTCCTCAGGCTACTGTAGCATTGGGTCACATTTAGCCATCTAATGAGTGCCATGACCCCGGATGGCGCAAAAACGTTGCCTCTAGCTCTTGAGATTCGGTGACAACATCCGAACAGATCCAGTGCCCGCAGTTGGCCTAAAATCTATACAATGACTGAGTCAGGCAAGAATTAATATCCTCGCTGGGCCTGGTGTACCGCCCTCCTGCTTTTTGCTCTCTGTCTTTTCATGGCAGGTCTGGGTTGGGCCGAGGTTTTAGTTGGTATAAAATGATATACATTGAAATACTCCTCACCTACAACTCCCACTTCCTGACATTTCCTATACCCGTTTCCGGAACGTGGTGGTATCTACAGTGACATGAATAGAGACCAACGCGCTCCATTTTAGATAACGCTAGAAAAGGCATTCGCCGCTGTCCCTGAACGAAGCTCTTCGGCCCAGATCATGTGTTGGCAGTTGTGATGCTGCCAGGAAGCTCCTAAGCCCCAGTGACAATGTTGTGTACCCTGAAACAAGGCGCCAGCTTAGAGCCCTATTTTGAGACTCTACCTTTGTCGAAGGTCGCAATAGACCATTGTAAACTGGGAGCAAATGTTCTCACGAAGCTGCCAGAGAACTTCCCTCTCGTCGCCACATGAACAGGACTTAGGAGATTCTGGCGCACGTCGGCTCTTACTCTAGATGTGCTCCCAGAACTTGCGACAACAGTGCAGCCACCATGGTGCGCGCCGTCCAGACCCTATCATGGAGGGATAGGATCTTGATGCCAACGTGGCTGGTGGCCCGCACTGCGCCCTTACTGTATTCGACTTTCTGGAGTTATAGCTCTCCAATAACTCCTTTTTCACACATGTCCGGTCATATATTATGTGCTTTTCGGATAGACACCGTCCTTCGACTGGGGGTTTTTGAAAGCATCAATACCTCGAATATACTGCCGTAAGATGAGGTGATCTGAAAAAGAACGTGTCCAAAAACTGAGGGCATCCTGTTCCTGCCATCGAGCGCCCACACTTGGCTCCTCAGGAGAAGCCCACGAAGGTAACCCCTTAGACCGGAGCCACTGCTATTTATCGAGTAGCGGAAAGCGACAATTACCCTACAGTAGCTGCCAGGGAACTCCCAATCCTAGGAGTCGAAATTGCCGAATTTTCATTCAATCAAGATCGACTCATAATTGTCGACTACTTACTGTAACTTTCTACTATACTTTCTATCTGAGTACGACTATCTTATTTATGTACTACCCTGACAATCCAATAGAGACGCAGCTCCCTGTAAAGTGGTTATCATTTTATGTAGAACTGATGTTGACCATCCCCGCGATCCACAATTTGGTCGAAGTGAGCGTGTTCACCCCAGCTCAAAGGAGTGAATTATGAATTTTGGATGCAATGAGCAGACTTGCCCCCAAATTTGATGCCCACCCAGTTAATTTTTAGATCTCTCAACTGGTCCATTGGCAAGGACTGTCCGTTTACGACTTTTATCATCCAGGTTGTGAAAGGAGTTGGTGCCGAATACAGGCTGGTATCGATCTTAAATGAGGTCGTCACTGAATAATCATCCGATCCTACGACACTACATTCAAACGGTTTACTGAAGGAGCCTGTGAAGTTGAAGCGCGTTTGGCCATTGGTATTGGTGTAAAAGCTGGATGTTGAGATCTCTAGCTGAACCGTGGGAGCGCTGGGGCTGGTGCTGACGCCGACTAGAAACACCTCCAAGTCACTGATCCGGAAGTATGATCCCCTGACGAAGGGCCCAGTAAGCTTCTGGTCATCAGAAGGTGTTGAGGACGGTATATAGGTGAAAGATGCGGTATACGAAGGGGTTTTCAAGAGGGTGAGGATGTTCGATTGATACTGGACTGGTAGCTGGATCTCTTGTCAGGTTCAAATGTGGGAAGACTGGAGTCGTGGTCTTACATCCTTAATAGCTTGAGGAAGAGGAGTGATGGCTATATGGTTGTTAGTCATGCTTTAGCTGCTTATCTGTCTGTCTTGTCAATCTTCTTGCTTACTTGATGACCCTCGGGGGAAGGTTGACTCCCAGTCTTCTGTCTCTTCGGTCAGCGTGCTCAGGTAATTTGAGTAGTCTTCAACATCGCCTGTTGGATTGAGTGGAATTGTACTATCCTTGAGAGTAGCGAATTTATACGCCTATTTGAGGTTGCGCATCTCAATGAGAAGACCCACGTGAATGGATATGTACTGGTTGAAGAACTTGGCTTCCTCTATCTCTGTGATGACTTTTTCTTTCTTGACTTTCTGTTTGAGTGTATTCAGCACTTTAAGATCCTGATTACAGCGGTTCAGCTCGAGCTGGGCATGAACCAGATCCTGACCAGCCTGTATAGCCTCCGTCTGGGCCTGCGCGAGCTTCTTGCCATCGAGCGCATGGATGCGCAGCCCAAGTCGATACGCGTCGGCGCCAGTGACGCCGGCATTACACGCATTGGCGATTCGGTCATTGGTGTCGAGGGACCATGCGTCCTATGCAGAAATGCAAACTGTTGTGAGGGCATTGCTGTCTAGCCCCTGGATATCCTTCAAGCCCTGTATGGGTCTGTGGGATCCTTGGAAAGTTTGTTGGTGATATTGACGGCCTTGCTGACCGCAGGGTACATGTTGTTGATGCCAGTCACGCAAATGTTAAGGTTGTTGAGGATTTCATACAGCTTTACATTACTTTGCACCTGGTCCATGATTGCACCGATATTTGGCGTGCCTTTCCCCAGGTAGAGTGTCCTAATCGCGGCAGCAAATTCTATAACAAACCCTGTAAGTGATGGGGCTGTTCCGGGGGCTGATGATAGCTAGCATACTGAGAATTGTGGTGAGAATGTCCTTGATAAGATTTTCTGTCTTCCACTTTTTGATGCCATCACTGAACGCCGTCTGTAGCTCTTTGAGCTTGCTTTGGTCATTTTGAAATTCAGAGAGACAGCCCTGGACGACGGTCACCACTTGCTTGTACCTTGTCATAACTTGTTGCCGGAAATCGGCGCGCATGTTGGCTGCATGTGCTGCAGATTGACCCATCGCATCCCATATCTTAAGGCGATCGTCGATACTGGTTTGCTGGTCTTGAAAGCGGCAATACTGATCTTTGAAGTCCCGTGCAGTTTGAAGGAGTTGTTGCTGTGTCTTCATGTATGTGCCTAGTGTGAGAACGGGCACATAATTGCCACTGGGTCCAATCAACGCCTGTGCGGACAGTTGATGGCGCAGATTGATCGCCTGGAGGTTTGTCTGGCCCTCTGATGGAGTTGGCAAGGTCGCCAGAGTGACATGTGTGAGAAGTGACTGCGCCATGGCTGGGCTGTCCCAGAAGACAATAGTGGCAATGCGCAGCTGCGTGTGGAGACAGTCCTTGAGCCCTGCGGGATATGAGTCATCCAGCGAGCGATATTACGCATTGTATTGAAATTCCATGTCCTCAGCTAGCGAACTGAACATGATGTTGATGCTAATGTTGCCAGATCCCTCCCCGAGCTCGAGTAATTGAGGCTTTGAGCCACTAGCTGAGAAGGTAAACAGCTGGTTAAGAACAGAAGTATACAAGGTGAGCATGCAGTTTTGCACTGGCTTGAATTTAATGTGAACAGGTTGGTTGGCTGTGAGGACGTGGCAATAGAGCGATATGATGCGCGACTTATCAAATCGGCCACTGTATTGGCAGAAAAACTGGCCACATCTGCAAAGGCGTTAACTGTGTTGATTCCAGAGTTGATAATTTGTTCTGCATCGATGTCGATGTACACATTGCGCAATGTGAAAACTCCCTATATAGTATAGTTAGAAGGCTGGGTAAAATCACATTGCGTCTTAACTTACTTCCTCCTTGTCCTTCATTCTCCGGAAAGGAACCTGGCTCACGTCCTTGCATGAGGCATATTGCTGCCACTCAGCAGGTGTGTTGGCCGTTTTTGGACAGCTGTTTGCCATTGTGCTTTGATTATCTGCTTGATCCATTGTCCAGGCAGTAATGCCATTGCTTTTTATAGTCTTACAAGTCTTGACAGACTTTTGTTGCCAGGGACTGCTAAAGTGCTGAGATTGTTGACCTATATGGTTGTGCATCCAGATCCCTCATCATTTTGCATCATACAAGCGACCTTGTATCTACTGTGTAATATTTGTCGGAGCTGGTGTTGTCCACCTGATCCGCAAATTGTCGTATTTACCCAATCTACACTGTATTACTTATATGAAGTGTGAACCCCTCTATCAGTGCACTTGGGCCTCTGGCTTGCATGAAGCCTTAGCTAGCCACTTTAGATCACTGAACACGAAGAAAAGACAAGCAGCATCATCAATAAGACAGCCATGCATACTGGCTAGGAGTTGGACCGCTTTATATAAATGCAGAAGCAGTGCCACCTCTAGGTTTATCTTTTATCATCCCCTAAATCCCAATTTTGGCTAAAGAAGGTCAAGTCCCCATCTAGGCTGGCTTGGCAAATGTATTTGATTGGTTAGTTTAATTGTGGCCTAACTGCGTTTCAACTAACGCTCAACCGCCCCGATCGGGAGAGTTGAAATAATTCATACGCAGTCTTTTGTAGCCTTGTACCATGGTCTAGATGAATCATGGTATGGTCTGCCCATTGAGCCTTCCAGTATTTCACCAAATAGTGCAGACCAGATAAGTGAAGACTCTATGCAAGTGGGCGATTCTCCTTATCCTGCATTAACCCATTCTCCAGTAGCAGATGCCATCAGCTGACAAGCAACAATAGAATGACTGCTACCTTACATTTTATTGACTAGATTATGACTAATTTATCATTGCCTTTGTTTGCTACTTCAAAAGGCGATGCATACAGAGTAGTTCTAGCAAGTTTTGCACTAACCTTAGTTACTTGCCAATCTCTTTGGCTTAGACATGGGCAGTGACATTGGGATAGAGAAGTAGATATTAGCCTTAGCCTAATAAAATAACTGCAAGCATCCCGTTTAAGCTGTTAGAGTATGACTAGGGATGAGAATTATATTATAACTTTAAATTAGCATTTCTAGCTTGCTGTTTATAATCTTACTAGGGCCTGGCTATCTTATATCCTCCCAATACCTACCACCACACTAATATAATACCTTGTCTTTATTATCCCACTTGACATCTTAAGCAGGAAAATTACCAAAGAAGGGATGTAAGAGAAAGGTCAAAAATAATTTAAATAATTTATAATATACTGTGACACCAGCACCCCTACCCTACCTTCAAGCAGCTGATTTTCCTGTTGTTGAAATGGCTGAAAGTTGGGCACCTGTTCCTGACCCTGACCCCAAGTCCATCTCTGAGGCCATGCCCGCCCTCTCTTTGAGCCTTCTCCTGAGCTTGGGGTCCAGGCAGCCCCTCAGTGTGACCCTAAGCCTGTCTCTGACCTTAACCTGGAAGAAATGGATGAGGCAGCTAAGGAGTATACTATTAGGTAATATAAGATTACTAATACTCCTGCTACTAGAGCTAATAAAGCTACTAAGCCTGTCTCTAAAAGAGTAGAGATTACTATTAAAGCACCTGCTATTCTCCCTAGACCTATTATTATTAAATATACTCAGCCTAATACAAGGTATATAGGCAATGATAATACTATATATAAATAATTAGGGCTAATCTAAAGTAAAATTAAGTCTATATAAAGGAAAAGTAGTTATAGTCTTAATTAGCTCTAGTAAAAAGTATTACACTATCCTAGAGAACCTTCTTAGCAAAGCTACTACTCTGCTATATTATTAGGATGTAAACAGATCCCTAGTAGTAATACTCTCTAAGGTAGATAAGAATATCAGGCATATAATTATATATTACCTATATACTAGTAAGTATAAGACTATAAAGCTACTATTAACCAGCAAACTACTAAGGTAAGCTACTAAATATATTTAGAGTATATTTATATACTGTATTACAGTAAGGTATAGTCTTAATAGGCTAGTAGAATATGCAAAGTAGTACATTTAAATTTTTAATAAGGAAGTTTCTATTATTAATATAATATCTCTTAGAAGGAAGGCCTTCCTAAAAATATTAAAAGAGCCATGGTTTTCTAAGTATCTTACTACTAGAATTATAGCAAGCTTTAAGGCTGACAAAGGAATCTTCTAGTGGGAATAGTTTTTTAAAGGGTTTAGTAAGACTCTAGATTTTAATAAATTTCTAGGGAAGGTTATAGCATAGGTCTACTCTAATAAGATCTCTTCTATTTAGTATAAGGCAGGATTGCAGAGTAGTGATAATATAATCAGGATGCTAAATACTAATAAAGAGGAGATTATTACTAGTAACTATAATGCTAGTATAACTCAGGCAAGCTCTATAGAAGTAGGCTTATATCTAAGGTCTGAGTCTAGTATTAATAAAGAGTCCTCTCCTAGGGCAGATGCTCTTAATAGTCATACCCCTTCCACTAGGTGAATCTTGGATATGGACTTTAACCATTGAAAGCCAGAATATATTAATGAATCTGACATGTCAACTAACGCTGAGTATGATGAAGTTGGATCTTCAGAAGTAAACATCTTGACACCAGATTCGGGGACGGATAACCCTGTACCCACCAAGCTCGTGAACGCGAGCGCGAAGTCGATTAAGAGAAGGATTAGACGATGCATTACCAAAGAAGGTAGAGTCGACTTCTTGGTACCTGCCATTCAACGCTGCCTGGATGAGGTTCAAGTAGCCCATGCTGATTTTCAGCAGATACTTTCTCTGTTCTGAAACAGATGATCTTTCATCACCCAGGTCTGAGAGTGAATCTCTCGTCTGCCGCAACAGGGTCTGTATTTCATCACAGACTTTTGGTAGCTCTCTTTCTATATGCTCCTCCAAGATTCTCTCGAGGAAGCTTCTCAAACATTCCGCGCCGACTCGATTATGGTCAAGCATTAAGTCTTTCCACGGTGTCGAGTTGAAGAATTCCAACTCTTTTTGCTTCCATTCAAACATGGAGATATTGTTTTTAAGCTGTTCAGGCGACGGGTTTTTCATGAGGAAAAAGCCGAACTTGAGCCTGACTATATCGAGATTATTGGCGAGTCGAACGATCTGAGATTCCGTCCCTTTATTAACAAGGTCGGGCTTTGTTATGATGCCAACGGTTCTCTCCCCCACTTTATCAAATCTTCGGGCTCTCTGAATGATATTCTGGTTCTGAATATCATTGCTTGCTTGGACGACTGCAAGTATAATAGATCTAGTGTTTGCAAGGTAACTGTCGATAAGTGCATTGACAAGCTGAACATCGGCTTCTCCTTCGTCGTAATCGGAGACGGATATTAAGCCAGGCAGATCCACAATTGTCAGACATAGGCCAGTATCACCGACGACTTCGATACGCAGAACGTCGGCTGTGAAGGCTGGAGAGTCATCTGAGTCAGAGTAGCCCCTAATACCCATTGCCACTGAGGCTTCGTGGATGACAGACGGCAACTCTTCGGTCGACCTTAAGACCTTTTTGAACCGCTTGAGGGCTTCTTCAGAGCCGTCGCGCCTTGATAAACTGGGGATGATTGACGCCGTTATGATGTTTTCCGTCCCTTTGCTATGACGGAGGATAATTTCTGTTGCAAATCTCGTACAGGTGCCTTCCCGGCGTGGAAATGAAAATCCGGTCACAGCTGTTAAAACAGAACTTTTGCCTGAGGATTGATCACCGGAAACTACAAGCTGAGGCAAACTGGGGTCCTGTGTTAATATTCTGTGCGGGATAGTGTTTTGGGATGCTCTTGCACCCGCAACTGGTTACATACCTTGACGGGTATGGCCCGACGAGGTCCTTATTGTATGTACAGTAGACCATTACTTCCCGCGAATTTGGAACCTCATCGTGGCCTATAATTATGGGTAGTGCTCTCAGGAGCTACTTACATAATATAGCCAATAATTTGAGGCGCTAGCGGGCTTTGTGGCGGTCACTACTGACCTTCTTCTGGGAATTGTGGCGTAGTAATAAAGATAATCAGACAAAGAAACCCAGACAGATTCCACCTGCAGCTAGGCACATCTCTAACAGGAAACTCATTGCTGGGATCATCTTGTGGACCTTACTAAGAAACTCTTAATAGGTCGCGAAAGGAGATTTGTGCTTTGTTATCCCATCGCTTTCCCTGTCCTTGGCGCAATAGCCCAAGTACTTTGTCTGGTAGTCTAGAACAATCTTACTTTTCGGCCAAACCATGAGGCAGCCGCTAATATTACCAGACCCTAGTGATTGTGTCGCAAGCTTAAAAGCCAGAACCACCTAAAAACCTGCATCGACCCATTTACATACTATCAGGAGGACTTAGTTATTCTCATAGTAAGCTGGCTGAGGACGACAGATGTGCTGAGATAATGAGTTCCTGTTGAATCTTAATTAATTTCCTGCTAAATCCACAGGGCGACAGGCACCTTGGTGCTCCTGCTAAGCATCCATAATTGTACAAGGATTCATGCTTTTCATAACCAGACCCAGGCTTAGAGTAAGTAACATATATATTATGGCTACACCAATCTTATAGCATCCGCTTATTTGGCAGGCGTCAAAAAGAGAACTTAGTGGGATACTCGCCGACAGCTAGTAATGCTATGAAAAAGCCAATAAATAAGGCTCCAGGTGCAAATAGCTATATTTACCTGCTTAATGCTTGTAGACTTTAATTCTCTAGTTCAAGGCTTCTCTCAAGCCACTACAAGAAGGCCTATTTGATTTCTTACAGAGAGGCGCACGGACTGGGATAGTGAATGTAGACTTTAAGAACCCTAGGCGCATTAGAGCAAGGATAGCTCTTCTAATCATATCATCCACCTACATTCTTGCGTCCCTGTTATTCTATTGGTCTACTACCCAAGCTAATCACCTTAATGAGGCAGCGAGGCCAGACAAGTATATAATTCAGTCTACCAGCATGGTAATGAAATGAAATTATCCCTGCCATACCCACAAGCCCTAGTAACTACTTTA